CGGAGAGGCCTGTCCTCCTGTCGCTAATGAGCACACAGAGCTTGGAGAGGGGGCTGGCCGGGCAGGGGCCAGGAGGAGACAGCAGGGGAACGGCCAGGGCCTGCCACAGAGCAGGACCCCCTGTGGCCAGGGCCAGGCCAGAGAACACAGCTGAGGGGACGCCATTCCTCTCCAAGCCAAGGTGACCAGGGTGAAGAGCTTAACTAGGTGACACCGAGAGGGAGATGCCACGGGAGCACCGGGAGGACAGAGATGGACACTGCATGCCCCCCTCATGGGCTGTGTCGTGTCCCCTAAATTCAGCCCCAAAGCCCAGGGCCGCAGTGTGACCACATCTGGACATGGGCCTTAAAGAGGTAACAAGGAAATGAGGTCACGTGGGCGGGCCCTGCCCTGTGTGACTGGTGTCCTTAACAGAGACGCTGGCAGAGGGGGACCTGTGGAGACGCGGCCAAGGACGAGGCCACCAGGGAACTGGGTCCTGCGGGCACCTGGCCCCTCGACCTCGGCTTCCAAGCTGCGGGACGTGGATCCTCTGTGCTCTGAGCCTCCGGCCCTGCGGGCCTGGCAAAGGAACAGGCCGCCATCCCCGACGGGCCATCCCCAGACGGACCTTGGGACTGAGCTGCCTCCAGCCAGCTCCTGACCAGCCCTGGGCCACTGCAGGAAGCCAAGGGACGCCCTCAGCCAATCCTCCCTCTGCCTGTGGCAGGGCACGGGTCCTGGGAGCTCACGCTCAAGGTCAGTAAGAACACAGAGTGGCCAAGAAGCCACGGAAACCAGAGGGATGGAGGACATGGGTCACACCCAGGGTTCCGGGGACGTGAGAGTTGAGTTTTTTAATTGCAAAATCCTTTTGTCAAAAGGGCCCTCGTCCAAGGGCAGCCCCGCACAGCCAGGGTGGACGGAGAGACCAGGTCACCAGTGGGAGAGGCAGCACGGCCAGCGGAGGTTGGGCCCGAGCTTCTCCGTGTCCTCTTTTGACAACACAGTCAACCTCCTCAGCCTGCCCCGAGGGAGGGAGGGAGACCGGAGCCCAGCCCCGTGTCTAGAGGCTGCATTTTCCGAGGTCTTGACCACTGCAGGGTTGCAAGGAAAGCAGGTGAATGGCCACCAAAGCAGGCAGGGATGGGAGGGGCCACACAGCCGGGGCGGAGCAGGGCGTCTCCCTGAGAAGGGCCTGGGGCACGGGCCCTGCTTCTCTTGCCCCGGACTGGCCCGCGCCGTCTGGGGTCCTGGTCACTCCACGTTCTTGTACTTGGTGAATAGGTTGTACAGCACCCGCAGGGTGGACTTGAGGTCAAGGTTCACCACATCTGCAGAAGGACACAGAGACACCGTTGGCAGAGGAGAGAATGTGCCCTGCCTGGGGTCACCATGGGCTCTCGGCCACCATGGGCACAGCTGAGCGCCTCGGCATGAGGCTACTGGCCGGCACATGCAGGAGACACTGGCGTGACCGTCCTCGGACACACAGGCTGCGTGGAGAGCCCCCACCAGGGCCGCCACCTTCTGTGGGGACAAGCACACAGACCCCTTGGGATCTGTATCAGGACATGTTCAAGGACGGGTGGGCAGGTGGCCAAGGGCACTTCCCGGATGGAAGGCCAACTCCAATAACACGCAGGGACCCATGGACTCTAGTGTGGGCTGCTGTCTTCGTGGGGAGGGGGCCTCCCTTCTTGGGAGTTGGGCACCTGGCTCTTCTCACCTGCTCTGTGGCCTCAGATAAGTGACTTGGATGGTCTGGGCTCCCGCCTCTTCTCCTCTTAACCCAGTGATGCTGAAGGCCCTGAGCTCAGTCCCCCAGGTCGAGGCCCCCTGTGCCAGGCCTGTGGGTAACTAGTCCTGAGGGCCAGACGCGGCAGGCGCAGTCGGCTCTGGACCCACCACCTCCCCTGGGACCTGGGCTCCCCGCTTGTCCAGGTGGGTCACTGGTGGGTGGCCGGGAATGGCCTGCCTACCTGAGGGAGCCCCAGTACTCTGTGGGGGCCCAGAGCCCCTGGCCCCATGGGTCACCCCAGCCCCCAAAAGCCCAGGGTAGGTGTGGTGGGGAGGGCAGAGGCCACAGAGACCAGGCGGCCAACATGGGGACACGTGCAGGGGTAAGCCAGCACCCTGCTCCCTGTCCTGACAGAACCCACCCTCAGGGGTCACAGGACTTACACCCCCCCAGCTGCCCCAGATCTGACATCAAAGGGCTTCAAAAGCCACCTTGGGGTACCCCACCAGACCCTGGTACCCACAGGACC